TCAAACAATTTGAATTTGTTAGGCCCATTTCACATGGACGCTTTACATATGCGACGTATYGCGCGTTTTCAGTTRCATTTGTTAAATGAATACACGCCACTCCGACGATGACACGTTTCCCTTGCCAGTATGATGCGTATGAACTTTATCAATGTAAACTAAAAACGCGCGCGTACGATACATCGAGTATGATGCGCGTCAATGTGAAACGGTCCTTAGACAGTTCAACCGCTATTTGTGGCCCTACCCTAAAACCAATTTTACATCATCTACTTTGAAAATAATATTATAACTAATACACTGAACTAATATCAAAAAATTAAAATTGGAAATTTAACACTGATGAACCTAACCTCAGAAAAAAAAGATTAAGTAATTTTTTAACAATATCCATTGAAACTAATTTTGTAAAAATATTGGTCAGTATATTATTTCAATACACACAATCTAATCAATAAAAATATTTAAAAGGACACCACATGGGCATTTGTTGTCTCYGTCTTACAAGCATACAACAAAGCAGATTTTACATTCACGATAATACGTTTTACTCTGTAATTTCTAAAACTAGAGTGAATTTACCTATTATAAAATTTAAAGGCAAGAATATTATCTAGGACAACTCGGAGAATTTTAACTGATACTATTATAACCATTTTTAAACTGTTTTTTTTTGTACATATAAATAATCAAAAATTACTTAAAAATGATAACATCTATAAAATTGTTTGAAGTGTCTTATATAATATTCTTGCCTTTAAAATATATGAGAGGTAAATTCAATCTAATTTTAGAAATTACAGAGTAAAACGTATTATTAAAAAACGTGAAATCTACCATGTTGTATGTTTGTAAGACTTAAACACAAATTCCTATGTGGTGTTCTCTTAATAACTGACCTTTATATCTGATGAACCCAGACTATGGATTGCAGATACCATAAATACATCTTTAAAGTTTTCCCAACCAACAGATTTCATAATTTTTTTCCCCAACATCCTCTCTTGAATTTTTAAGCTTTCATGAGTTCTTCTTTTTTCAGGTGTCATAGTGTATGGTTCAGGAATATGAATGTTATTATGTTTATAACATGTTAAAGACCTCGCCAAATCTAAAAGATAGCTTTTAGACTTTAAAAGATCTATCTAAAACACATAATTTTTTGTTTATAAATAAGTGAATACAAAGTAATTATTTTGTATAATTTACAGTGAAACTTCTAAACTTTCCATGACAAAGTCTTGTGGGAAAAAACAATTCTTGTTATAGAGAAATTTGTTAAATAGAAGTAGATATGTTTGTTTTTATTATGGTTAGGTTCATATAAAAACCTTTAAAAAAACATTGTATGCATACTGATAAAGGGTAAAATATTGGTAACCTGAGCTACGCCACAAGCTTATTGAAAATGATACATAGTTATAAGTGGTTAATAATGGAATATTTGAGGGGGCTAAGCCCTCTACAATTTTTGTCCATGAATAAGATTATTTAATACTAACCATAATTATATTTATGTTTTAGGTATTATAAAAGCTACTAAACTAGTGTAAAATAAAAATGTTTATAAACAAGAAGAATTTTTAGTTTCATTATCTTTACTTTTACAACACAATAAATTATTTTATTTTAGGTATATTGAGTTATATATATTATATACAGTGTCAGCCTGGTACTTAAAGGGCTCCGGATGCATTTTTTCAGAAGGGCCACCAAACATATTATTTCATAAAATGATAAAAATGCTTATAAGTAGTGAAATATTATATTTTTAGTAATATCGGGTCCCCTCGACATAATTACCGCCGGAGGCYCCGGATGTGTTCGTGACCTAGCRGCCATGGCCAGGCCAACACTRATTWTATAATATATAAAAACTGATTTATCTTAAGGCTGTAATCTGCAAAGTTATTATAAAATTATAAGTGTTTTGTGATTCTGAAAGATTAAGACTCACTGGTCAAGTTTAATAAATTATAAGTAAACATGCAAGGAATATATTTTCTATTACTAGAGGAAAAGCTATTTGTTCATTATCAACTTTGTAAGTTACTCACTTTATTTAGCACTAAAAATGAATCTTTATTAGGATAAAGATGTAAAAGCCTCAAAACTTTGGGATCTAAATGGTTCCTCGTATACCGATTGGACACATCATGAATAACACCAATTATATCTGCTTCTTCGATTGAGTTAACTGAATCATTAGCAAATGTCCTTTCTAAATTATACCTATGACAATGGTAAGGTKTGTACGATTAGCCAATAGTTTATAATAATAGTGTTTCCAGTTTAAAAATTATGATTACTTTGCAATTTCTGTAGAGTCTACAAGACCAGGAGTGTCTAAAAACACTAATTGTGTATCATCAACACTTTGTACTGCACGGACACTAGACCTTGT